TTTTTCTCCTACTCTGTGTATCGTTATTGGTTTGTGTTGTGGGAACAAACCTGCTTGGTGTTTGCACCTACCTCAGATATGTTTCATGTACCTTTCTGGCAAGAGCACTGCCACATCAGTGGTACAGATTTAAACACTGTCTTTCAGTGCTTCTCTGTACTGCAATGTTTTCAGTGCCCAAGGCAAAACTTTTGCCTTTACATATTTATTCTTCCAAGCAGCTGCTCAAATCCATGTGAAATGCAGAATGCCACCTGCTTCTTTCTCTGTCCTCTATTTTTCTGTTTATATAGTTGTTTGATATATTTTTTTTTTTTCTTCTGAAGACATACATATCTGTACAAAGGTAGTTATTTTTGGTAACATAGGGAAAGTTATTTGGGTTTCCTTGTTTCTTCTAATGGGTTGACTGGACTGTAATTTGCCAGGCCTTTGGGGCTGTGCCCTGTAATTCTGCCATGTGGGTCAGTGTTTGCTGGGTGCCTGTTTACATCTCAGGTACAAATACCAAGAGGGACTCCACTTCTTCTCTTCCTCCTGCTGCAGACAGCCCGCAGCACAGCACTCCACAAAGCAGGTTAACATCCAGCCCTGGTGCTGTGAACATGCCCTCTTGTCCTGTTAGTGGTGTTATTGGTGGAAAAATAAACCCAGCCTACTCTTCACGCCGTGCTTTCTTTGTCTCTCCACTCATGCCTTTAGAAAGGACAATGCTACATTTGTGGTCAAAAGCCTTGTCAGCAAACAGATGCCTTTGTGAGAACAGCTCCTGCTTTACACTTCAGAAATGAGTGTTTGTGTTTCTGACATTTTCTTTCCTTTCCTTTCCCAGTGCCTCCTCTTGCAGGGATAGCTCTTTGGGGAACTTTGTTTCAGGTGTAGGCCACTTTATAGTCTCTCCACCTTAAATTCCTCTCCTTTCTGTCTTTACCTGTGTGGGTTCCCTGTTGTTGTGCTTGGAGTTTCCAATAGAAACATAGTAGAAAAATTATCCTAGTCCAGTCCTGCAGTGATTATAATGTTTCAGTACAGCTTTTTGCTCTAGTCACCTACACATCCCTCAAGTTCTCTGTAACCACAGCACCTTTCAGTTACAATGCAGCCAGTTTGCTGGCAAGGGATCTGATTTCCATTTATTTTGTCTCATTTCCCCCCTTCTTTTCCTTCCTTCTCTCCAACTTTTCTCACCAAACTTGTCTTTCAGTGCTATTATTTGCAACTTCAGGTCTTTGTTAATTTTGCACAACCAAGCAATGTATTCTTTAGCTTTCTCTGATGCACTGTATAAAATACGTGTCATCTACAGGTTGTGCACCGCTTGTATCCCACTGGTCTGTTTTAAATCTGTGCAGAATTCACCTGTCTGTACAAATAATGTATATATTTATTACATTAACCTGCAGGTTCAGACTCTGTACTTTTGCTCACCTTTCCTAACCACCGATTAACAGCCCCACATTTAGCTGACAAATAAAAATCCAGGAAGACAGCAACTTAAATTCAAGAGGATTAATTCTGCTCTCAGCTACATAAATCTGGAAGTTTACACCATTTTCACAAGATAAATTTTGAAGGACAGAATTTTGCACTGAGGAAAAGATTTAACTCAGGTCAAGAAGGCATGTCCAGAAGTAGGAGGTAAATGCAGTTTCATGAGCTAAGGTGTACCTCTGCAACATGTAAAGAGAATTATGCAAAGAAATAGCCCCAGCAAATCTGCTCCAACAGCAAGAAAGAGAAAAANAAAAAAAAAAAAAAAAAAAAAAAAAAAAAAAAAAAAAGAAAAGAAAAACAAGCTACCACCACCCACCAAAGAGACAACTGAAGCTCTTTGCACCCCCTGCCTACCCATTTGAAAAATATAAAAATGTGTGGTGGGCAGAATACCTCCTGTTTTTAATGCAGCCGCCAGTTTCACCAGACAAAAGACTGAACGGCAGAAGAGATGAAGATCTCTCCCACCAGCAATTCTCACAGCCTCTCCGTGCTAAAGCCTTTCAGGCAATTCAGGCAGCAGCAGAGCAGCAGAGCAGCTCAGGCACAAAGCACATCTCTGCCAAACATTCCCCAGTAAATGGCCCCCGAGCCAGCGGTTAATGTCTGAGGGCTGGCAGGGGACTCTCCAGCAGCCCGGCACTCAGTCATAATTAGCGGGATGCTATTAACTAAAGATCTTGGGCAAGAAAGTTCCTCCCTCAAGTTATACCTCTGACCTCGGTGAAGTTAAATCCATGTTGAAACTGGCCACTGGAGACCTTCTCCTGCAAATCTTAATCAGACAGCAGATGCCTGCTGCCACCAAGAACTGGAGTGCTTCTAGTAAACCTGCGGTGCCACACCATCACTCCACAGGGGAAAACCAGTGCCTGCTAAAACTGGTTATTTAACACATTGCACTGGATTTGGTTAAGTCCCCCCAACCTTTAAGTGAATGGCAACAGAAGAGCAGAGGTTGCCTGTTTCCTCTATCAGGTAGGTGCTTGTGAGCCCGATCTGCCATGAGGAGCAAAGGTTCTCCAGCTATCACTCCTTGCTGCTGTGCTTCACTTTGCATCCCTGTGATTTGGGAAAAAGAAGAAAGGGAAAACTCACAGTTTCCTTCTTCAGTTTCACACAAGCTTCAGAGTGTGACACTCAGCTTCATGCAGAGGGCAAGACTGAGTATGGTATTACAAGACAAAACACTACCTATTGCTGACATGGGACTTTTTCTTTTCCCCCTTCCCTAGGAGGAATAAACTCACTCCTTGCAGTTTAACCATGCACAGTTTGCACCATGTCTGCTTGGACTTCAGGGACTTTCTTTGGGTTGGGGGGGGTAGAAAGGGCAGAGGGTACAATGCACCCCAGCTTGAGGGATAGCAAGAGGAGCAGCTCACCACTAGGTACAGGCTCTTCCCCCATCTTTCCTCTGCTCATTCGCCCCATTGCTGCCTCCCTGCATCTCAGTGATGACCCTTCCCAAATTTCCTCTCACCTGAAATCCCACAGGTGTATGGGTGGACAGGGACACAGAGAGATCTCAGTGCTGAGAGTGAATGCTGGACTGGCAACCAGGGAGTTGAATTTCTGTCTATGTTTCTGTGGTTCCCTTGCCTCAGACAAATTCCTTTTTTTTCTTTTTCTTTTTCTTTTATTTTCTTTTTCTTTTTCTTTTTCTTTTTCTTTTTCTTTTTCTTTTTCTTTTTCTTTTTCTTTTTCTTTTTCTTTTTCTTTTTCTTTTTCTTTTTC